AAGAAATGCTACTACAAAAGAACCAAAATCTGCCAAGCAAATTAAATGACGCGAATTTTAACGCACGTTCGCAGGTGCGTTTGCACGCGCGCTCGCGTACGCGCTCGCCTACGCGCTCGCCCTTCGAGCCGGTAGGAAGCACGAATCCGCCGTCGACAAGTCCGCACAGTGACGGACAAAATGTCACGTCACACACTATATCTTCCTTGTTGATCTCGTGAATGAGTTTGTTTAAAATGTTGTTCGCATTCTTGATCATCAGTTGACAGAGGGGACGTGTTAGAAAATGATACCTCCTCGAGTTTCCAAAACCGTTGAAGATCATGAAGGTCTTTATCAATTGATATGTGATATCCTTGCGAAACGGTCGATGATGAATTACAGTTAATGGGGCCAGATAATATCCAGCCAATCTTTGTTCGTTGGGCGATTGGTGAAATGGCGTCTCCTTTTATTAATCCTTCTTCAATAATCTGAGAATAAACGTCGACTCCAACTATTATGTCAATCAATCCAGGAGTAGTGTAATGATAATCACCCAATGTTAATCCTTTTAAATGTGGTCAATCATGCTGATGAACTTTAACTGATGGAAGAGATGTAGTTAATTTAGATAAAATATATGCTGATATAGAAATTTCCGTGTTAGGATCAAAGTGAGATCTTATTTTGAAGTAAGTTAAGCCTTTAGTATTATTAGCTTTTGTACCACCGATTCCGATTAAGGAAATAGAAGAATGACTTCTGGGAAGATGAAGTAATTGTACCAAACGTTCTGAGATTAGTGAGATTTCAGAACCTTGATCAATTAATGCTCTAGCTTTTACGGTCTCTCCATTCTCTGAAATGACTTGAGCGGTAGCTAATAAAACACATGAGCGGATGGAATGTTGTTCAATGGAGGAATGAAGAGCATGAGCTTCCGTTGATTTTGATTCAGTAGAAGGATTATCTGTTGATGATGTCACTGGAGTAGAAGTTTTAGTCTTAGAATGAGTATTCTGGTGAATAGTCGTATGATGTTTATTTCCACATTTTAGACAGCGCTTTGTTGTTCTGCAGACTGCAATTTTATGAGGTCCTAAGCAATTGTAACAAAGATTATGCTTTTTAATAATAGCGAGTCGTTGTTGTACTAATTTTGAGTTATACTGGACAATTTGTAATATACAGGGTGGACCATCTGAAGTGATCCAGTCAAATATCTCGAAAACTAGTAGGGATAGAGAAAAATGTTTCGTATGAAAAGTTTAGGGTTACACGGGGGAAGTATGGTACTGACCTTGAAAAATCCTTGGAAGGTCATT